CATTCCTGCCTTCTAGCAGCTTAAATTATCTTCTTTAAATGTGTAGATATTGGTGTTCCTTTGGTCCTGATGACCATAGGAAGGGTGGGGTTGTATGACCTAGCAGGACTACTTATCTCCCAAAGAAGAAAAATGCTGGTCAACCAAACACCAAGAGAGGATGTACCTACCACTTTATTGTGAAATGCTTAATTGCTGAACCCTCAGTGGCGCTTGTCATATATAATCAGGATAAGCATGTGGATAAGAAAGGGGTGCCATGTCATGGCCCACAAGACAAGATGGCTGCTGGAACGCGTGCTATGTTTGCCCCATACATCTCTGAGGACCTACGTCTTCGTGTGCTATCTTTGCTATATGTGGGGGTCTCTGTGGAGACTATAAGGCAAAGACACAATGAATCAGTAGAGAAACAGGGCGGTCCATCTAATCATGATGATCTTTTAACCCATAGGTACGTTCAGAGACAGGAGAGGATCATTCGACGTTCTAGATATGAATTGGATGCAGATGATGCGGTTAGCATCAGCATGTGGGTGGAAAACCATCAGAGTAATGTTTTCTACTATGAGGATTTCTCTGATGTGGACCCTTTCACCTTGGGAATTCAAACAGATTGGCAGTTGCAACAGATGATTCGCTTTGGAAATCGCAGCCTTCTAGCTTCTGATTCAAGGTTCGGAACAAACAAATTGAAGGTCCGTTTAGTTTGTGTAACCTTTTATTGTTAACTGCAATTGTTAATAGAATGTGCAACTGAATATGTTAATGTTTGGATGTTATATAGTATTCAGTTCACAGTCTCCTTGTATTTAACGACGACAACAGGGCCATTCCAGTAGCTTGGATAGTGGCTCCAAAGTTCGAAAGTTCCAATGCCCATAAATGGATGAGGGCTCTTTACAATAGAGTTCAAACGAAAGATCCTGCATGGAAGTTGGCTGGGTTCATAGTGGATGATCCGCTAGCTGATGTGCTCACTATCAGGTTGGCTTCTCAGTCCTTGTCCGAACTTCAAACTGACAATAGATGATTGTATTTGCTGATGTTTTGTTTGGTAGAACACAGTCCATAGATCATTTTCCATAGAAGTGGCAGTGTGAACCCAACTACATCACCACTTATTAACCTGTTTCCAATGTATTCCATTTCAGTTGTTTACTTATGATTAGAAGATTTTTTTTCAGTTTAATATTATAAGCAGGTGGGATTCTCTCCTAGAAATTAATGCCCAATCTCTTGACTTGATCAGACTGTCCAGTCGATGCACTAGTATTGTGCGATTTGTTTGGTTTTAACCACGAGTGATTTAATTTCAACACATAGCCTTGCTATTGTCAAACGATGTTTAAAATCAAGGTTGAAGGCTATAAATAAATCTTATTTATTTATCCAATTTTATGAGGTGACCTTTTGGGGTTTGGGCCAGTGACAATAGCCGCAATGTTTTCAAAATGGAGCAGGCCACTTTGACATGATCTAGAGCTGTATTTCTTTTTCTTGTTTTAATGGATAAATAATTGCATGATTTGAAGCTAAGTGAATAATGTTTTTTCATTGTATTCAGGGATGTATTTCAGTGCTTGGTGTTGATAAGCTTTTGGCGCGTTCGTCATGCATGGCATAAAAACATAGTAAAGAAATGTGTGGACAATGAGATGCGAGCTGCAATATGAAGAAGGTTTCATCAGGCAATGGATAACATTTGTCAGCAACGAGGAACTGAGGGTTTGTTTGAGGACTTCATAGAAGATTTTCTAGATGAATCAGATTTTATGGATTACTTTAAGGCAACCTGGTATCCTAGAATAGGTTGGTCACTATCATCTTAAGTAGAGGTATATTTTGCCCTGTGATATGAACTAACATGTCTCTTTTTATTGGTTTTCATTTTGACATGCTTACATTTATGTCTATGTATGTATCTCTTAAGACCTGCCCTGACTTGATTGTGTGGCATTCATACAGGTTAACGTGCATATATATGTGCATACATACATATATTCATAAATTTTACATATATAATCGCATAAATGTGTGGATGTTCATGTGTATGTGTGTTTGTGTAATATATAATTTAGTTTATGCTTTGCATGTAATATTATCCATTTGTATACAGGGGAATTTGATATGCTAAGAATTGGCCTGCTAATTGTAAAGCAGTCTTTATTTGGCAGAAGATCAATTTATTGCGTGGGTTCAATATAATATTTAGTCTTGCAGATAGTGGCCTTTTTGTTTTCTTTCTCCCCTTTCTATTGAGCCTTTTTTTCTTTTTTCTTTTTTTTTAAATTTAAAATTTTGCTTTATTTTGAATTACTCATTCAAGAAAAATGTTTTTTGACATAGGGATGTGGATCTCTGCTCTACAAAATCTTCCTCTTGCTAGCCAGGAAACCTGTGCAGCAATGGAGTTCTACCACAACCAACTAAAGCTTAGGTTGTTGAATGAGAAGAAACCTAGTGTGTACAAACGAGTTGATTGGTTGGTTGACAAGCTGGGTACAAAAGTACATTCCTACTTCTGGCTTGATGAATATTCTGAGAAGGATGATTTTGCTCGATATTGGAAAGATGAATGGGTGAGTGGTTTAACATCTTGGCGTAAAGCGCTGAAGATTCCAGACTCCAATGTAGTCATGGAAGGTACATTTGCAACTGCAGTTGGGCAAACACTGTGTTATGGAATACCATGATTTCTGGGTTTGCTAGACATGCTTGCTCCCTAGAGGTGATGATCTTATTTGAGAAAATGCAGCAGATGGGTACATTCCCAAGTGAAGTAACGTATGTTTCTGTATTAACTGCTTGTAGTCATATGGGATTGGTTGAAAGTGGAAGGAAATACTTCAACCTCATGATAACAGAACACAATGTGTCACCTAATGTTGTTCACTATTCTTGCATGGTTGATCTTTTTGGTCGCTCAGGGTTGTTGCTTGAAGCCTATAATTTGATAGAGGAAATGCCATTTGATGCTACTGCTTCCATGTGGGGTTCACTGTTGGCTTCTTGTCGGATCCATGGAAAACTTCACTTGGCTGAGGTAGCAGCTAAGCATTTGTCTGAGATAGAGCTTAATAATGCTGTAAACCATATTCTGCTGTCAAACATTTATGCAGCAAATAAGAAATGGGATGAAGTTGCAAGAATAAGG